CCCCCCCCCCCCCCCAAATAATGTAGATTATTATTAAGGCCGCTATATCAAGTCTTCTTTGGGTCTCGCGTGGAGAATGACCACCATGCAGTACCAAGGACCGCGGTGCAACCTGTGTTGGCTGGCGTCGCACACCACATCTATGCTCAGGTCATATAAGTCATATCGTTGATCTCTGTATGGTAAGTTGACATGGCATGGCGAGGGACTCCCACTTGCTCCCTATTATGGCTTTGGGCTTTGTGGTTCAGGGCTTTACCGACTATTGGTCCCCGAATGCCGGAGCACAACTCCATCCGTAAGACTCCTTTGCCTTTCCAAGACATCTGGGGGCCGGACGTGCCCAGCCAATTACTGGACCTGCTGCTGCGGAGGGGCAATGTGGCTCTGGCTTCGGGCTTTATATGGCTTGCTGGTGCTGGAAACTCTGAACCCTAAACNNCTGGGTCGTAGTTTTGGGGCCCTGAAAACTATTTATAAATCGGTACCTTTGCAGGAACCAGAAGGCAAATGTTAACGTTTCCCACAGTGCCACCTAGGTAAAGCGTTATGAGGCTTTTGTTAAGGCGTTGCGGCTGCCAAGGATTCGGTCTCCAGACCAGGATTCCCAGAGACTCCAATATCCCTTGATTAGGGAATAGTCCTTAAAATATAGTAGGATCCTTAATATGACTTAAGGTATATTCCTTAATTAAGGGATATTGGAGTCTCAGGGTTTCGAGTATTTCGGATCTAGCATAGAACCAGTCAATGGTCTAGGTCCTGGCTACCGGATATACTGATTCGGCGCCAGGAAATTCTCTTGGCTGACTTCTGAACCCCTCCTAAAAGTTAAGCTATTAGCCTCATTATTACAATTCATATAGAAACCAAGAAGTTAAAGTCCTAAGAGCCAACCAGAAGAACGCCAAGTTCTGTAGCATGCAGGGTCTGGGGGTGCAGAGCGGAAGCCCTGGACTGATCCATGAAGCACTCCCTCTGCCGTGTTGGGCTTGTGGTTTTTGTCTGCTGGTTAGCACGATAGGGATCTGCAAACGTCTGGTTTTCTATGATGGCAACGTCTGGTTTTCTTTGATGGCAACCTAAGCTTTAAACTAAATTCCGTAACAAGAATCCAGGGTGAGGTCGAACACCCGATCTTTGGCTTTGAAAGGGTGTGCAGTACGCCACCTACGTAGCCGGAAACCCTTCCGAAATGGCAGGTTGTAACCGCAAGTTTGGTGCATAACCTTTGAGACACTCGGCAGCTGGAGCTACTAGAGGGGCCCTAAACCCTAAACCCTAGAGGGGCCTTAATAGTTCGAAGAAGACTTCAGTGGCAGATAGACGTCATAGGGAGCCCCACACGAATCGTAGTATTGGCATAGAAGGACTAATTGCTTAGGGCTCTACACCCTAAACCCTGAACCCCTAAAAAAGGCTCTTACATCGCAGGTAATCGACCGGCCTCACAACATGCTCTTCCAAATTCGAGAGTTCTTGCGACAACTCCTCGCCAGGAGCGGGTTTCGGGCTAAGGGTTTAACCTAAACCCCAAACCCTAAACCCTAAAGCCCCAACCCTAAACCCCTAAGCCCTAAACTCTTTAGGGGGAAGATCCAGGTGCTTGAAAACTCATGCAATCCTAAGAAACCAAGGCCAAGAGTCGAACGCCAAAAACTCTAAAACCTGAAGCTTTCGACTCTCAACTCACAGCCCTAACCTCTAACCTCGAAGCTTTAGACTCTAAGCCCTCAACCCTAAACCCTAAACCCTGAACCCTAAACCCTAAAACCCTGAACCTTAAGCCCTAAACCCTAAACCCTGAACCCTAAACCCTAAAACCCTGAACCTTAAGCCCTAAACCCTAAACC